TACTACTACTACTACTAACTACTACTAACTACTACTAACTACTACTAACTACTACTACTACTAACTACTACTACTACTACTACTACTACTACTACTACTACTACTACTACTACTACTACTACTACTAACTACTACTAACTACGACTAACAACTACTTACTACTACTACTACTACTACTACGACTGCTACGACTGCTACGACTGCTACGACTGCTACGACTGCTACGACTGCTACTACCACTACCACTACAACTACAACTACCACTACCACTACCACTACCACTACCTACTACTACTACTACTACTACTCCTGCTACTACTACTACTACTACTACTACTACTGCGACCACTACAACAACGACTACTACTAGTACTAGTACCACTAGTACTAGCACTAGTACTAGCGCTACCACTACTGGTAAAAGTACATGTTGGCTGGTTGTTTTCGGGGGGGGGGTCAAAATAACAACGACGGGGTTGCAGATTTTGTTTCCACCCCCTTGTAGAGACAAAGGAGCAAGATATCTTGTAACGGGGCTGCAATTTTTGTTTGTACCTTGTTGGTAGGTTGTTGTTGTTGTTGTGGTTGTTGTTCCGATTAATATACAATATACCATAATACTATAGACCCTAAGGTTGAATTTTCTCGAGCTGATGAGAAGGCAGACACGTGGGCTGAGATGTCTGGAATCGCAGTGGTATTTGCATTGATTCACTTTTGGGAGGGCAGATGAGTGGCTAGGTCTCGGACAGGCCAAGAGGAGCGAAGGGTTGGTACACCAACGGCGGAGCGAAGTGTTGGTAGACCATATGGACGCATTGGCGTTCTCCGACCCGATATTTTTTACAGGGCATAGTATAGTATATATGTCTAATATTATAGGTTGTGTCCCATGACCATTCTGGGGGAAAGGTCTTTACCAAGCATCATCATCCACTGGGCCCTGGTAATGGGATATACCCCAAACATGATCCAGCCGACGCCATCTTCTTCTTCGCAAGGAGAAGAGCCACAACCTCGGTGGCAACTCTTCCAAAGCGACCACAGGTGCCTGTGGTCGCTACAGAACTTGTGCTGGTTGAAATCCGGTGAGTGCAATCCACACCAATGTTTGCAGCCTTGACCGGGGAGTGAATAGCAGCATCAAGCGGCAAGCGGTTTGTACGGATGGAGTTTGACCCATTTTTCAACATCAGACCACTGATTTTCTTAGACCGATGTTTCAGCTCACACTTGGATTTCGAGCCCCTGGACTCAGAAGATGTTTGAATGGAACGTTCCAGTCCCAGCTTGGACCTTGATCGCTTCTTGATCGGCTTTATGGAGTGTGACTTCGCGGCTCCCGCGGGGACCGATCCCCCGTTTCCTCTCCATGCCTTCTGCAGGCATCGCCGCTCCGGGATGTGAGCTTCAAAAGGCGCAAGGCATCACGGACACCGGCGCAGACCTGACGTCTGCTGAGCCCATCGCCAAGGAGATGGTGCAGCAGGGTGCCAAGGACCGAACACAAACAACGACGCAACCACCATCGGGTGGGTGGGTGGACCATCAGGTGCGCGAAATCCGAACATTTGCAGTCATTTTGTCAGGTAGCATCAGGGGTAGATTCAGGTAGCAGCCAGTGCCAGGGTACAGCTGGGGCCACCGGCTTGAGTATTGTCAGACAGGCAAGGCCTGATGCCAGACAGGCTTCGGAGCGCTGTAATTTCTATTCTTCAACAGTGGTTGGACTGACGATGGTTGAAGAGACCAGAGACTCTTCAAGTTTCTCGCCCGAACCTTCCGAACCTCCCACTTTCATGAACAAGAGCTGCAAGAGCTTCAAGAACATAACATCATATAGATGGATGGATGGATGGATGGACGGATGGATGGCTGGCGCCAGATGGTAGCATAGTTGGCGGCTGTCACCAAAGCTTGGAGGTCTGCTGGTACCTGACACCGAAGAAGTGGCTGGAAGAGATGTCCCAGGACTCCAGCTTGTAAGAGGTGGACACTTGTGCCCTGATCTGGCTGAGCGGGTCACTGGGCAATAGCAGTGGGGCCTCCGGTGTGGCCTGAGTGTAGGCCTGCTGGGATCCAGGCCTGAGCCGCGGCCATGGTGTCTGCATGGTCATGGTACATATGCTTGGCTATCCCCGTGGTGTTCTGGATACGTCGGCCACATAGGCCACACTGTTGCTGCAGGGCTTCACGGAGGCGCGGATCAGTCAGCCATTCCTGGGGTCGGCCTTTGGCACAGAGCTGCTGTACCCAAGGCCACTGTTGGGGTACGTGATCACCGGCCCCCCGATTGGCATCAAAACTCTTGCAAGCCATGGACTCCACGCGCATGCGGAGACCATAGAAATTGTTGAATGTGTTCCCGCAGTGTGCACACTGAGTGGTGCCATTGGCTGAGTCGCGGGCCGGCTGGAAGGTGGCTGTGGGTGCATCGGTGCCAGCCTGTGCTCGCAGCGTGGACTGTGCGAGTTTCCCCTGTGGAAGACGTGGGGGAGCAATCAGTTCATCAACCACGTCACATCCCCTAAGCTGGTGGTGTTCCAGGTAGGCCACGATGGCCACCTGACTGGCCGCTGGGCAGGAATGGAGCCGATTAGTGGCGTTGCCACATCCGATGCATGGTCGGCTGGTGGTGACCGCTCTGGCAATGGGGCTCAAAAATGCTTGGGCTGCATGCCAAACCTTGTGTGCCATTTGGCACAAAGGATGCATCTCTGTCTGATCATGTCCAGCAGTCTGTTGGTGCTGACCGCTCCCAACCAGTCCTGTTGTCGAACCACTTGCCGCAGTTCAGGATCATCGGCAGGACAGGGTCGTTCCTGCAGGTTGGCATCGAATTTCAGGCATCGTCCATGTGAAATATGCTTGATGAGTCCTGACCACTGCTGGAACTGGCCGTGGCAGTGGCGACATTGGGGCATGTCACCTGCAGCATCACGGAACACACGATACGGTTGCGGAGGCAGCTTCTGTGAAGGGTGATTACGAGTGATATGCTGCATTAGTGACATGTGCGAAGGCATGGTGATTGGACAATGTGGACAGGTCCACACTGGTGACGGAGCGGCCTCCTCTTCACTGGGCAACTTAGGGATCAGAGCCTCCAAGATTTTTCAAAATGAGTGGCATATGGCAGCGTATGCAAGAAATCTTCTTGAGGCAACATTGAGAGAAGGCCTGTTCGGTCATCTCGAAATCTGGTCCAGGTGGTGCGGAGGTGCTCGGGACGTTCAAGCGTGAACGAAGGGCCTCGGAGGTTTCATGTGTAATGTGTGATGGTGAGCGAGCAATGCGTCGAAGGTCAGTGATGCAGGTTCTTTCTAAGAGTTCAACCCCGTTGGGGGTCAAGCCGCAGGCCGACAAGCCATAGACATATGAGGCCCTGACACAGCTGGTCCACAGGCGGACACGGCTCCCGAGGCTGAATGCGTGGCGTCTCTGGAAAAATGCTCTAAGACGGGCGTATGTCAGGCGGCCTACATGTATGCGGTGTTTCAAGGTCTGCATTTCGATAGGGCCATAACTGATCTGTGTGCCAAGGTATGAGTGCTTGGTGACCCAAGGAATCAGGCATTCCCCTTGGAGCCGGGGCACAACTAGGTACTTGGTGCCTTTGATTGTCTTGGTCCATCTTTTGAACAGCCCCGTCACCTTTGAGCCGGACATTCGTAGCAAGACGGCTGTTTTTCGTAAGTTGACAACTAACTGATTATGTTCGAGTGTGTCCAGCAATTGGCCAATGTCGCGAACAGCCTGAGGCAGGTCCGTGAGTCTGTCAAACTCCCATTTCAGCACCAAGTCATCAGCATACGAAATGAGGTGCGCCCGCAACCACTCCAGCGGCTGGTCAATGCTAGCAATGTATTGCACTAAAATGTCAAGCAAACAGACATTCCACTGGAGAGGTGAAGCAACACAGCCTTGTCGGGTTACACGGGTGGGAACAATCTGGCATGTTTGACCTCTGTGGCCAATGTGGTACGCAGCTCCGTGTAGCCACGCTTGCAGCAGGACTTTCAGTTCAGGGGGACAGTTTACTTGATCTAATCCGGGGCCTAGTCTATCTCTGGGCATACGATCAAAAGCTTCCGACAGATCTAAGCTCAAGCAAAGTCCTCCTCCAATCTGGAGCGGCTCTACCCCCGCCCGTCTCTGCCACAAGTTCTTCGTGGCACTCTGACTCCTGGCACGGACGAGATGGCAGCGATGGAACACGGCAATGAGTGCATCTAGGGTGGAACGATGAAGCAAATATCCTAACAGCGGTGCTTGACAAAGACTCGGCAAAACATGCGGACGGACCTTCTGGATCAGTGTTTGGAGCACGCACTTGCCGATGACATCTGTCAAAGCAATGGGCCTTACATCTTTCGGGGTGTGCACGGCCCGCTTTGCTATCAAAGTGAGCCAGGTCCGAGCCTTGAAGATCACTGTCTTGCCTGTCAGCATTTGCCGGTGGAGGACTTGCCCTCTCACCTCCAGCCAACATCCCATCGACCATGTCCTCATACAATCCATGTATGATCAAGTGCAATGCCCAGACTTGGGCTGCTGTCGACGGTGCATCCAGCTCAAGAAATCCCAGATCGGTGTCCGGTGGCCCTTAATTTGGCCCACTTCATTTCCTCGAGCCTACCAGATGGACTACATGGAGGACACCGACTGGATGGAGCAGGTCCAGGATGCGGTGGGCGGCCTCCTTGCCCGCCCCCCACTGAAGAGAGCCAAGCCGGAAGAGGACGGCGAGGATCGCTCCGACGAGCGCCCGAAGGGAAAGGGCAAGGGCAGGGGAAAAGGCAAAAACAAGAACCAGGACTACCACCAACCGCAGACACAACAACTGGCGGCGCTCCAACAGACCGTGGGCCAGCTCATCTCTTTGACGCTGAGGCACGAGTCACAATTGCAGGCGCTGGCCAGCACAGACCAATTTCTGCTCTTTTTGCCAGCCGGTCCAGCTTCCCTGATGCCCAACATCCTCCAGCAGACCCAACAGTGGAAGGAGCAACAAGGCAAGGGCACCTCCACGCAGCCGCTCCGAGTGGTCTTGGGACAGCTGGTGATACAGGAGATCCTGGACCGCTTCACGAAGTTGCAAACGAAGGGCAATCAGGATCCCCTTTGGCAGAAGGCCATCCAACAGCTCCTCATCACCCCGGAGGGCTTGTGGCCCTATCTACAATGGGATCCGACTCAGAAGAAGCTACAAGTGTTGCCCAACAAGACCCCTATCAAGGGGGAACAGATTCAGAAAGCCTTGGAGGAACTCCTAGAGTACATGCGGAATCCGGCCCACCTACTCCGGTTCAAGAGCTTTCAACCGCCGCAGACATCCAAGAAGACCGTGATCCCCTTCCTGCTCCAAGTCAGTCTCAGGGACAACAGACTGTACGAAACACTGTCATGGCTGAGCCACAACTCGGTCTGGATGCTGGTGGAGGCCAGACTCCGACAACACATGGTGCGGCCGACCCAGCTGGTGACGCAGATCCTCAAAGGGCAGGGACGCAGTGCTTGATGGATGGATGGATGGATGGATGGATGGATAGAAGAGTCAGGCCCTTCAAACAGGGAGCGATACTCGCCTGTGGACATTTCATTAGGGCACCTTTCCGTGGATCAACGGATCATGGGTCTTTTTCTCCAATTCTTGACTGTTGGTTTGTGGGACCCCCCCAAAAGTGCTCAATCACCGCCTTCCAGGGCAGGTTTTCTAGAGCATCGTCCAGGACGTGGACTGGTTGCTGAACTTGGCCGGCTGCAAGGATGAGATGGTCGTCCGCCTGACACCAGGTGCAGAACGAAGTTTTTGAGGCTTTTGATCAGGTGCTGCAAGGACCAGGTGTGAAAAGGAGACTCTGTTAGGGCCAAGGCCAAGGGGGTCAAAGGCCGTGTCCAAAAGGTTTTACTAATTCTTCCTTAATCTGTTTATATAGTAGTTTTTTTTTGTTGCTGTCTCTTTAAGTGCTGTAGGATTGCGCCCACTTCGCCTCTACAAGTCGTTTGGATGTATTGCCCTTCTCCAAAAATCACAAAAACATCTGGCAGGTCATGGCAAAGTGGCTCGAACATTGGGAACCAAAGATCATTTTCCAGGCGTGAACTCATGCGGTGGGCGCTTTTGGGGGACTGGGAAGCCAGAGCGCCAGGGTTTCAGGGTGAGAATGTAGGCCGAAACCTCAGGCAAGAGTTGAAAGGTGTCGAAAGGACACTCGGTCACTCGGAATTTTACTTTGTTACGTATTCCTTATATTACATCATATCAAGCCTGGGAGTTCGTGTTGTCAGATTGTGCATTCGATCGCAGTCTTTCGGAAGAGACATGCTGAGTATCAGGAGCCGTGGTTACCTACGCCGTGATGCACCAGTTGGAGACGATCGCAAAGGCACAGGGCGGGCTGCCGCGTTCGGACCAATTGCACTGTCATTACTGTACAAGAAAAAACAAAGGTCTTTTGGGAGCTACAAGAGAGGTTCTGATACTGTACAAAAGGGCTTCTTCAAGAACCTTCAGGGGCAGCTCTTCAACCCCACCCCCATGGTCTTCTTCAAGAACCTGAACACAAACCGTTCTTTGGTTTGGCAGCTCAAAACGTCAGTGGATCCGGTTCCGGATCTCCCGAATCGAGGCCAAGCCAGAGAAGTTGAAGATCGTGACCTCGGCGACCGTCACGAAGTTGTTGACCGAAGGTACCAAGGCGCTGCCGGAGAGTACTCGACCTCTCGGTACCCGCTGGAGAGGTCGGCCATCACGCGGGAGTACTCGGTCGCTGTCTTCTTGTGTGGGGTTGAAGATGGATACAGAACCCATGACACTCCAGGTCCATGTATGTCCATATATGGCATATTTACCATTACTTACCTACACTAACCCCTTTTCAACCACCCCAATGTATGTAAAATCATTAATATTCATAAACATCCCGGCGGAATTATTACCGCCCCACGATTTTTGTCTTTTTCTCTGTTTCGCTGCAGCGACAGCTGATTTTTGAGAAAGAAAAAAGGGTTCAAAAAAATGTCGTTTTTTTTTTGCGTTGTGCAACCCTTACAGCATTTTCTTGGCAAAAAGGGGTCCCCATCGGCACGTTCGTTTTTTGAATTTTGACCACATTTTGGAAAAAAAGTTTATGTTTTGTCACGTTTCCACAGATGAACCTATTTGAAAAAAGAGTCCTCCGGGCCATTCAGACCGTTGATGAAACATGATTCATTGAACCGAACGTTAACATCCCACCCCACCCCACCCTTCCCCACCCC